ACCGAAAAAATAGGTGGCCTTTGTTCTTTGGCCAAATTAACAATTTTCTTAGGCCGATGTTTGATTACGGCCGGAGCGAAAAATTACCCCCCGGTATTTTCAACCAACCATTCCTCAAATGGAATTGATAAGTAGTCGAAAACGTAAGGAAAATGTTCTCCATCTAGCCAGGCATTAAATCGAGCCCTGTCTTCATGTACCCTTTGCTCATGCAGGGTAACATGAGCGTTTATTCTCAACATGTAAGCGAATGACTTTTGCATCTCTCTATGGCCACGAAGAACTTTTTCCACTTCCTAAGATTTTTTACGTTCCTCATTGTGTTTTTTCAATTCCTCTAAGAGCTCGCACAATCAGCTGCATTGAACGAGATTGGAATCTTGATATATCATATGAACTTCGTAGTATTAGCACTAGGTCCCACTGGACGTGCCAAAATGTTGACCCTAAAAACTACCAAGCCTACGTGGCACGCAGGCTAAGTAATCTATGAGCTAACTACGTCCTTCGGTTGTGTGCGGGGCGTGCCAACTCGTCGACCGAGCTCGGCCAATGAGTAAAATTTGTTGACGTTGCGTTGGGTATGCGGTCGACTTTTGCGTCTTGCTATTGCGACCGAGGAAGGAACACGTCTCGGCCTCTTGGGTTCTCGAACCTGAAGACAAGGCTACTATTCTTACGAAGTTCACAAATCGTTGTCGTCGAATTCGGTCACAGTGATAATATTCGTCAGAGTAAACTCACGCTGAATCGACACCAAAGTGTAAGGGCATAAATACTCAAAGCAAATATAAGTCTTAACAGTAAACGTGGTTCGGCCGTTTGAATGCCAAACTTTAAATCCCACTTGTGAGTATCCAATCATAAAATAACTCGGCGTGTAGTGTGCCGAGCCCAATAAACTATAACACCTCACTTCGCCGAGAAGGCTGATGAGATGACCTCAACCAACAAGGACTCGGAAATCCTTCTCGATCAAGACTTGGATAGATAACCAGTCGCCCTCGACGCAATGCTGTTTATCCAAACTGAAGATGCTGTGAGGTCGGCTGATTCTACAGTGACAGTGTTATGTATGCCGATTGAAGATACTACCGGTTGCCTTCACAGTGCTGTTTATCCAAACTGAAGGTGTGTCAGCGAAAATAGAAAAGGAAAAAGTCTCAAGGTTGTTGAGAGAATTTGCGCAGGGTAGTTGTGTGTTGAATTGAAAGGGACCTTTAGAATGATGACCCCTTGTATTTATAATAGCAGAACACTAGGATTGTCGTCGTCAATAATGGGAATATTCTCTCAAGTATGCATGATCCCTTAACCTTAGAAATCAACCGAGACTTAAACTTCTCAAATTATCCCAAATTGATCCCGTGGCCTTGGTGATTTCCTAGAAACCAACCGAGACTAAACCTCTTGAATTATCCCAAATATCCATCAACCACATGCTGGCTCATAACGCAAAAGTCTATACCAATATGCTAAATCATTTAGCCTACTCAACAAGATAATTACTGCCATCTTTTATCACCACCACGTGTAAAGTCATCTTTCAAGCACATCACCATTTTTACTTTTCCCTTATCGTAATTCCATCAACATCGTAATCTTTATCCAACGCATGCATTGATTTCCTGATCACCTATTTCACCTCGTTGACCAACCAAAGAAGGTCATCAGATCATTTTTATCCACGCCAACTAACCTTGACCAATATGATCTCATCTTTTACCCCATTGTATTTGCATAAATGCAGGGAAGATAATCTTTTAACTTGCCACGTTAGCTCTCAAACCAATCATGTAAGTGTAGCAATTCAAACTGAAATTGATCTCCTTTGCTTCCAAAAATATATTTTATAAGATAATTACTATAATAATCCAATAGTAATATCTAGAAAAATAAGAAATCCAACGGCCTAGAACCTACTCATTCAACGACCTTGATGGCTCGAGCCGATATTGTAAAATCGAGCCCAAACAGAATCACTCGATTTCGTTGAGTATTGAAGAAGTTATGAACGTTTAAAGTTTACACAGTTTACGGCGAGTTGTCAGTTTTTCCGCGGACCAGCCACCTTTCAGGCTATTTTCGGGTTATATCCGGCAACCATTGGGCTTCCAAATAGGTATAATCTTGTTTTACACTTTCCTATCTTCATTTTGATATATTATGGATCGAATTTGGTTTAGAATTAATTGAGTTACGAAGTTTTGAAAATTGCCCAAAAGAATCATGGATGGTGGACAATCACAATGACCATTTCTATTGATTATGCAAATCAGGGACCATTTTAGCTATTTAGCCTATTACTAAAGTATAATAAACTAGTCAACATGAGTAAATAATATAAAGGTCTAAATTCGAGTTTCGATGCCGACAATCCCTCTTGATGAGCAATATGTAAAAACTAAAAAAAGGAATTAGGACTCCTGTCTAAATCCTCAATGAGGCTTGTGGTATACCTTAGAGTAGTTCCAGTGTAGTAAGGCCCCTTTTGGGCAACAGGCAACTCAATCCCCTTAAATGAATAGTAACTGTCGGCAGTGAAAATAATTGCCTAAGTGCATCTCCACCCCTAAACTGAATAGCCTAGGCAATTCGTATTAAAATATTAGTATTTTTTGTTTTATAAAATAATGAAAGATAATATTATTTTTAATTTAGGATAATAATAATAAAAAACTGGTGAATGTATTTGAAAATGTTGAAATGTAGTGTAAAGTGAAAGAACGTGGATAGGTATTTATAGAAAAAATTCTAATTTTTTATATTTGTAATTAGTTTTTTTAATATTTTATAATGATTTTTAATAAATTAAAGGGAAGTGTTATTGACACTACAAAAATCTCATTCTACACTCATCACAAATGTATTTTTCTTTCTAAATATAAAAAATTTAGAGTGTAAAATGAGAAATTTGGAGTGCCAATAACAATTTCCTAAATTAAATTGTGAATGATGCCAGCCTTGCATCATATAAACAGGACACTGGGCCAAATGATTATTGTCTGACTAATCCATCGAGCTCGCCTTGAGCCCAATTGCTCGAGTAGGGTGGAGTGTTTTAAGGAAGTGGAGTAGTTGGGTATTTCCCCAAGGTAATAAGCAACGGTGGTGAAGTTGCTCTTAGCCTAGGTAAGAGTGCCTCATCTCTCCCTCTCTCAACTTTTATGTACCAAGAACATAAAGTATAATAAAATAATATAACAAATGATTTGCTTACTGCAATAAGACTTTTTGTGATACAGCGTCAACACCTATTAACAGAGATGCGTTTATTATAATTTTGTAAGAAATTGTGGGTTTCCTTTTAATTTTGGAATTCACCTTCGTACTTATTTTGAACAAACAATGTTATCTGCATTAAGAGCCTAAGACTCCATTATTTTAGAATTCACCTTATTTGATTGCAATATATGATGTATAAGTGACAAAGACTCCATTTATTGGAAGATTATAATGTGTTATTCAATAGGCAATGCAAAATTACAGCAACATAAACCTACACAAAAGTTGTATATGGCAATTAATAAAAATAATAAAAGAAAAAAAAACAGAGAATCACCAAATCCAATTTTCAGTCACTTAAAATTATACAACTACAGTTCCTAAAACACAAAATAATTTGTAGAAAGAAAATTAGAAAATTCGAACTTGATAACAGTCTACCTTAAGAAACCCCATTATTGAGTAACAGCAACAACAACATTGGGACATAATTTATTGAATATATATGGTGGACAAATTTAACAACTCTAGTACCGTTAATAAAGCTTCAACCAATACAACAGATATGAAATCAATATATACCTGCATATCCCCATTCCGAATTGTACCCTCATTGTAACGACCCGAAATTTCTAATTCGGAAGCCAAACACACAGGTAGGCCACAATAAAATAATGGTTAATTATAATTCTAACTAACTACACTAAAAAAAATAATCATTTTGTTTAATTTATGGCTGCATCTAACATCCTAGTTAGACTGCCAACATACACTAAACGAAGGGATCAAGCCATTCGTAGTTCACCTTACGCTTCTAGAACAACATACTAAAATTTCATTCCGATCCAACGGTCGGATCTCCGCCAATCATGAAATCACGTGGCAGTCAACGTTTTATTTTATAAACTTGAAAATCCAATTCGGGAAGATTCGTACGTTGGATTCCCGATCTTTAAAATCCTAAGGTCCTGAAATATTACATACGATAAGGTCTCAAAGTTTAGTGACAATCTAACGGTCGGATCGTCGATTCATTATTTTGATCAAGTAAGGTATCGTAGTGAATTTAGGTTCAAACGATCAACCTACATCATACGAATATCAAAACTGAAATCAAGGTATCTAATTTAGCCTAAAATTAGCATCAACGACCCTCTGGCCACTCACTGCCATGGGTGGCGGTCAGCCATCCAGACTCGCCGGAAAATTTCAACTATTTCCAAAAATTCTCAAATTTTATATAAATGAAGATCTCAAAGAGTAAAACAAACTTTTACCTGTGGTCAAGTCCAATTTGGCTGGAAAATGCTCCAAATTGACTCGAACCCGCCAGAAACCCTATTTGGGTAGTTGTCGATTCGTCACCAAAACGAACTTCGTCACCTCATCAAAGGCTTGGGCGTTGCTCCTAGGGTTGAGAGGAGTCTTTTGGTGGTGGTCATCGATGGTGAAGCTTGCCGGAGCCACCGAAAAAAGATTAAATCCATCGAAAAAGCCATGGGCTTTGTGGCTTCGAACTAGAAAAATGGGAAACAAATTGGGAAATCTAACACTACAGAGATGTAGGGCTCGTCAAGGGCTTTCCATGGACACCAAGATCACCCAAAACGGAGTTCGTATGGAAGAGATATGAGTGGGTCAAGTTGGCGGGTCGGGTGGAAAAACTGGATTGACCGGTTCTCTTCTTCTCCTCTCCCTCCTTTCCCTCGTTTCCTTTCTCCCTCATTGACTGGTGCCATTCCTGTTTTGATTTAATGGAAAGTAGGAGAATCCAAGCAGGGGTTCTCTCGGTGAGAGTTGCTCTAATGGAATCGAACTACAACCTTTGAAAATTGAGCTTCTGGCGTGGAGCTCCGGCGAGGGACCCGTCGAACTTGGGGTCCCATGAGCTCGAGTTAGTCCCGTTAGAAACTCAGGTAGCTTAACCCATGCTCTGCATGTTAATTTCAAGTTTAAATTTGAGTTTGTGATTTTCGATTTCTGTTTGGAATTTCTTCCCAGGAAATCGTTTCACTCCGCCTAGATAGCCGCCTAGACCGCCCAGGCCGCCTAAGAACGCCTAGGCGGGCGCCTAACAGCTCCCCGATTTTTCTTAACGATTCGGACCTAATCGCCTCGGCACACCTCCGCCCAGTGCCTAGGCGGCCGCCTAGGCCGATTTTTAGAACACTGGTTTCGATAACAAATAATTTGGAATTTTCAGGTTTGGCTTTTCTCAAGTTGGGCCTAAATTTTTCGGATCGAATTCGGTTTACTTGGATTTCTTTTCTGCCCTACAAATAATGCTAGAAATATCACATTACTGATATGCAAAGTGATTTAAGCAGTAAACATGTCATTGCTATGCAAATTTTGCACTTCAGACTATTTTAATTTGTCCTGTTTATGCTGGCAAATGGGTGGGTTCTTTACAAACAAATTGAAAATCAAAAAATCCGGAGGCAACAGACCCAAAAGATAGCCCAATTGAAAATGTAAATAGAGGCTTTTTTGGGGTACTTTTTTATTGCTAAATATACCCATTCTCAAACACCCATTATTGCTAGGTTTTGTATCTTACATTGGCAGTTGATTTATTGATTTTACGATTACAAAGATGGACACATAATTATACATAACTAATAACAACGAAAATCTCTTATTCATATCGTACACATAATATTCTGTATTTTCTTCTTTTATTTATAAAGTTCAGAAGATAAACGAGGTTTGATGAGAACATTGAGTGGAGTTGCCTTAACGTTGGTTATTCCAAAACTCTCTGTCATATCAATTGGTGCACTCGACGGGTTTGAGATTTCAAACGCATGCAGAAAACTAGCCAATGTAAATTGCACCAGTTGAAGACCAAATGCCAAACCAGGACATGATCTTCTACCACTTGAAAAAGGAAGAAACTGAAAATGCCGACCCTTCAGATCAACATCCTTGTGTGTGGTAAGAAATCTCTCTGGCTTGAACTCGAATGGCTCAGGCCAATTTTTCGGGTCAGTTTGGATCTTCCAGAAGTTCGGGATCAACCGGGTGCCCTTTGGGATATGGTAGCCAGCAATGGTGCAATCTTCGGTGAATAAACGCGGCCCTGATAATGGTCCTACTGGGTACAAACGTAACGTCTCCTTTACAATAGCTTGGATGTAGACCAAGTTGCTTATATCTTCCTCACTCACAACTCTTTGTTTGCCTATTTTGGTGTCCAGTTCGTTTACAGCTTTTTTCAAAACTTGAGGGTTGTTCACCAATAATGATATTGCCCACGTCAATGGCACCATGGTGGTGTCGCCACCTCCTGCAATAATATTCTGCCCAAGGAATATTTGCTTGATTAACATTTATACGTTCTTTAGGCGACGAAAATGTTAGTGATTATATTTTTAAATCACATCTTGTAAATCAAAGAATATGATAATTGATGGTTGGATTTCATTATTAAAGATTTAAAGAAAGAATCTAACAATCGCTACATCATGTATTCTACATATACAGTCTAAGAAGATAATCTCTTTACCATCACCCATTGGTGAGCCGACAAATATGTCACATGAGTCATATATAAAATTGGACATAATTTGTTTTTAAAAAAAAAAAATATTATCGTCTAATGTTTTCATTTTCTTTTTATAGACTATGCAATTAGCTTATAAGTATTGAAAAGTAAAAATAAAATCTTTATGTGTATAGTGTCTAACTCCAGCCTTTTATGGTTAATTATTTGCCTGCAAATTTAATAAATTATATATACGTACCACGCTTGTGGCTTTGGTGATCGTATCAGCATCGAAACTGCCAAGGTCCGCACCATCAAGCACAGAAAGCAACGAATCTATGAAGTCCTTTTCTCCTTTTGCATCACCTTTTGCTCTCCTCTGCTTATGCTCTTCAAGCCACTCTGCAATAATGGCGTGCATTTCCGTTGCACTTTTCTTCATTGCCTTCTCATGTCCACCCCAATCCAACCACCGCAGATAAGGAACCGCATCACCCACCAAAAACATGCCCAGATAATCAAAGAACTCCCTCAATGCAGTCTGAACCCTACGCGCTTCTTTTCTCTCATCCCCCCAGTGGCAGCCACCGAAAACCGCTTTCCAGCCACCATTGTAAGAATAACGTTCAGCATCATGTCCCCAAACCATTGCTTTAGCTCTACAACCACTCCATCTTTCGAGCCCTCCTTTTTCTTTGTACTCCAATGGTCGTGCAATTCTTTTAAGAAAGTAGCCACTTCCGACACTCGAATGTGCTTGAGCAGCTCAACCTTCCGGACTGAGAGCAACTCCAAGGTAACGATCTTGCGAATTTGTCGCCAATAGGGTCCAGGTGGTCCGAACGCAAACATGGCATAGTTGTAGGTAACGTGATCTGCAACCACCATCTTTGGGCGACCGAGTATGCTCAAGTCATTGGTTGTGTAGCATTCTTTTGCGATCTCACTGCTGCTTATCACCAACGACGGTTGGACGCCAAGGCGGATAGTGAAAATGGGTCCGTACTTGTCCGCCATGGCTCCCAAAGTTATGTGAGGAGGTGTGGGGCCTCCGAACAAATGAAGGTGACCAAATATAGGCCATCCACCCTTGGCTTCTGGTGGTGATAATTTGCCCTCGTGATTGGAAGCTCTCCATCTTCGAGATAAGTAATAGAACACGATGATTACTGTGAACAGGCCAGCAGTGATAGAGTTTGCATAAGGCAGAGAATCCATTTTTGCAACTGTCATTAGAAGCTTGAGGCAAAATGATTTTTGCTGAACTGGGAAAAGGCTTAAGTTGATTTATCACCTTGTCATACACACACGTATATATAGAAGTAAGGGCTTGATTATTACGTATGGTTGTATTGAAATACATAACTCTTTATCTCCGAGTTGAGGGGAGAAATGAAAAAATTATGACTAACTAAAAGGTAAAAGATATATTGTTTTTTTTTTAACAAATGATATTATCTACATTGAAAGGATGGAGAGTGGACTAAGTCTCACAATGTGTTAGTAATAATGGGGTTCAAATTTACCTTTAGCGATCATCAAAGCTAAGAACCCATATAGAATTAATTGTTTACATCAAACATGTAATAGGAATATTTTTAAGAATTCGAAAAATGTAAAATCTATAAAGTAAAGTATAATTGATGAATTTGCTTACGGGGATCTTAATTATTTAGATAAAAAAATTACGTTGGGTTCTACGTAGAACATACGGCTGGGCATTTAAAAAAAAAACCGACTAAACTGCTTGAATCCCACCCGAAGCTTGGGTTGTTTTTTTTTTTTTTTTAATTTTCGATGGCTAAACCAAACCGTACCGATCTTAATCGGTTTGGCAATCGATTCTCAAAATTTTTAGGGTGCGGTTAACCAAACCGACCCGCATATATTTAATTTTATTTTTGAATCATAATTAATACGTGTAAATTTAAAAATGGAAGAGGATCCTCCTGAGTTCAGGATGGGGATCCTCTTGATCAAGTCATCCGGACCATTCAAATTTAATCCAACGGTTTTAAATAAGAGGGTCCTCTAAAAGTTATAATAATTACAACCGTTTGATTAAATTTGAACGGTCCAGATGATCCTATCAGATCAGGAGGATTTCCATCCTGAACTCATGAAAGGATCCTCTTCCCTTAAAAATACCCTTTCCTTTTCATAACTCTTAAAAAAGACAAAATATTAAAACTCCTCAATCCCCCGTTTTGTTAGACGTTTAACGAATTTTGATTATTTTGAAGATTTATTATTTTATGACATGCCGGTTTGGACCCTTTACTTATCTGTTCGTTGCAACATGCAAGTAAGATGGGATTGTCTTCTGTGTGATGTGTGCATAATTTTAATATCATTGCCCCCACGAAAATAACCTTACAAATAAACAACTATACGCTGGAATTGGTCTAACGCTCGTGATTTTTACACATTGGGGACAATTCCAGTATGGGATGACCTATTGAAAAAAATATCATTGCCCTCACGCTAAGGGATGACCTACTGATTGAAAACGAATTTCATACTCATATATTATACACAGTTTGTTTTGGGTTAAATTCTTAACGCGTGTGTATCACACGATAATGGTCAATGAGAGGTTGAAATGCCTCTGTGAGTCTTTTCGATCCTCAAAAGGTAGACTGTTGTGGCGAAGCTACAAAGTAATTTTTTATCACACATTGATGACATACTAATCATTTTAGTCCCTTTTGTGGTGATTAAGTTTGTGTAACGCCCGGATCCCAACATACATCGAGAGTCGACATGTGACAAAGGGAAATAACGTTTGGCAATCGGTTTGAATCCCACCCGAAGCTAGGTTTGGTTTTTTTATATTTAATTTTCGATGGCTAAACCAAACCGTACCGATCTCAATCAGTTTGGCAATCGGTTCTCAAAATTTTTAGGGTGCGGTTAACCAAACATATATTTAATTTTATTTTTGAATCATAATTAATATGTGTAAATTTAAAAATGGAAGAGGATCCTCCTGAGCTCAAGATGGGGATCCTCTTGACTAGGTCATCCGGACCGTTCAAATTTAATCCAATGGTTCTAAATAGGAGGGTCCTCTAAAAGTTATAATAATTACAACCGTTGAATTAAATTTGAATGATCCGGATAACCTGATCAGATCAGGAGGATTCCCATCCTGAACTCAGAAGATGATCCTCTTCACTTAAAAATACCCTTTCCTTTTCACAATTCTTAAAAAAGACAATTTAATTGAGGATGACAAAATAGTAAAAGTGCTCAATCCCCCGTTTTACTAGACGTTTAACGAATTTTGATTATTTTGAAGATTTATTATTTTATGACATGCCGGTTTGGACCCTTATTATTTTATGACATGCCGTTTTGGACCCTTATTATTTTATGACATGCCGTTTTGGACCCTTTACTTAACTGTTCGTTGCAGCATGCCGGTTTGAATAGTAAAACTGACGTTTAACGAATTTTGATTATTTTGAAGATTTATTATTTTATGACATGCCGGCTGGTGGTGAGTTGTACGGGGGAAATCAACCATTTCAATGTTTAGAGAAGCTAGAGTTTCGGGAGATGCCAGAGTGGAGGAATGGCAGCCTAGTCCAAGTGGTGGTGAAAGTCCAGACTTCCCTCGTCTTCAGGAGCTGATATTAAGAGAGTGTCCGAAGCTGATAGGAGACTTGCCTACTCATCTTTCTTCCTTGAAAACACTTGATGTGTCTGAGTGTGAGGTTCTACATGAAAACAGGGCCAGTAATACCCTGAACATGGAGTCCTTACGAGGATCTCTTGAAAAACTGACAATCACTAGTACAAAAACATGTTTGCGCGACGGAAACTTGCGCACGTAAAATTTTGGCGCCAACCCATCCCATCTTTGCGTGACACATGTGCACCTACGTCGCGCAAAACAACTTTGCGCGACGTAATTGAACCTACGTCGCGCAATGCTGTTTTGCGCAACGTATGAAGCGTTGCGCAAAGTCGACGATTTTTTTTTCTAAAATAACCACACACAATGGCCTTTTTCTTCACACTCAACCTCTCTCTTTCAGACTCTCCATCTCTCTCAACCTTCACCATCTTCACCTTCAAGTATTGTATTTATTTGATTAATTAATTAACTATTTATTGATTACATTTATGTTCGGATTTTTTTATTTTTGTGTATTTATGTTTTTCTTTAATTATCTTTGTCAATGCTTATTTTTAACAAGTTGAGTTTTGGTTTTGAACAATTGAATGAGTAGAATGAATGACTAGGAGTATGAAGGATTTTGATAGGTTTAGGGAAACAAAAGCTAAGAAACTGCAAGCTGCTCAGTTAACTTGATCCAATTTAGGGATAGATTGATGTGTGCTAAAAAATGATTTCATTTCTCACTAAATTGGGAGAAGGAAACTAGAATGTTAGAGATTTAGAGAAAAAGCTAGTTTATATTTTTGTCAAACCACTATTCTATTACGTGGTTAGTAATCATTTTAGGTGTAGTCTCTACCCTTTACGATTTTGAATACGTGGTCTCATCATATAGGTCCTTAAACAATAATTTTAAGGCAGGAGTGGAAGAGATATACAAGAAGCTAAAACTGTGGAACATAGGAACAAAAAAAAAAAAAAAAAAAAAACTTTGTGCGACGGTTGTACCTCCGTTGCGCAAAGTTTTTTTATTTTCCTTTTGCTTTTCTATTGGGGTTCTTGCATTGCCTGTTTCTTTTGTGGTATCCACTTGTGTAAATGTTTTAAATTGACGATCGAATCAGTTCCTTGTATTCATATAAGATCCAAAAGTGTAGTTGTAAAAAATCATCAAAATCGGAGTTAAAATAACCGTTAAATAGTGATTTTTTTGTTTATAACTGTCGAAAAGATTTGTCTCGTTACTTGATCTCTGAAGGTTTGTTTTTTTTTTTCATTTTTGGAGTATGCGATCTTGAAGCATATACAAACAAGTTTGACAGTTGGATCATTGAAACTTGTTTTGTACAATGCGTATCCCATTAAAACAATAGATTTCCTAACACTTATATTTTATTTTTACTTTCATCAAGTATAACATAAGATTTTGTGGTATCCACTTGTGTAAATGTTTTAAATTGATGATCGAATCAGATCCTTGTATTCATATAGGATCCAGGAGTGTAGCTGTAAAAAATAATCAAAATTTGAGTTAAAATAACCGTTAAATCTTGATTTTTTCGTTTATAACCGTCGAAAAGTTTTGTCCCGTTACCTAATCTCTGAAGGTTTGTTTTTTACTATTTTTGGCGTATACGATCTCAAAGCATATACAAACAAATTTGACGGTTGGATCGTTGAAACTAGTTTCGTACAATGTGTATCCCATTAAAACGATAGATTCTCTAACACATATTTTATTTATACTTTCATCAAGTATAACATAAGATTTTGTGGTATCCACTTGTGTAAATGTTTTAAATTGACGATCGAACTAGTTCCTTGTATTCATATAGGATCCAGGAGTGTAGCTGTAAAAAATCATTAAAATCGGAGTTACAATAACCGTTAAATCGTGATATTTTGTTTATAACCGTTGAAAAGATTTGTCCCGTTACTTCATCTCTGAAGGTTTGTTTTTTGCCATTTTTGGCGTATACGATCTTGAAGCATATACAAACAAGTTTGACGGTTGGATCATTGAAACTTGATTTGTACAATGCGTATCCCATTAAAACAATAGATTTCCTAACACTTATATTTTATTTATACTTTCATCAAGTATAACATAAGATTTTGTGGTATCCACTTGTGTAAATGTTTTAAATTGATGATCGAATCAGTTCCTTGTATTCATATAGGATCCAAGAGTGTAGTTGTAAAAAATCATCAAAATCAGAGTTAAAATAACCGTTAAATCGTGATTTTTTCGTTTATAACCGTCGAAAAGATTTGTCCCATTACTTGATCTCTGAAGGTTTTTTTTTTCTTCCATTTTTGGCGTATGTGATCTTGAAGCATATACAAACAAGTTTGACGGTTGGATCGTTGAAACTTGTTTTGTATAATGCGTATCCCATTAAAACAATAGATTCCCTAACACTTATATTTTATTTATACTTTCATCAAGTATAACATAAGATTTTGTGGTATCCACTTTTGTAAATGTTTTAAATTGACGATCGAATCAGTTCCTTGTATTCATATAGGATCCAAAAGTGTAGTTGTAAAAAATCATCAAAATCGGAGTTAAAATAACCGTTAAATAGTG